ATGCATGATGACGACGGGGCTCGTATCCGCGTGAGTGTCGAGTATATGCATGCATGCACGTACGTAGGCGTATGTCGGCGTATGTGGGGCAATTCTGGCGAATGCCCATTGATGCTGGATGTAATTACCAGCGAAACGTCGTACTCAAAATCTGCAAATGTTGTGGATTCACTCTTCAACACACCGGTGGGCTAAAGTAGTGAACTATTTGTTTTTTGTCAACGTGGCACTTTTTGTGCTGATTGGCCGTGTCGGGTGGTGGAGGGTTACGACACATTTATAAATCACGCGATCTAACCCAAAAACGTTTATTATGAAGTAGGTGTTCCCAGACATGTTACTGGTGGGCGAGAGCGTGCTTAGGACGTTTTCAATCGGCTTCGGCGTCACACTCTACGCGAGGCGAATTACTCGGTCCACTACTACTCATGGGATGCGGCTGCTGACGGGTCTCGTATCCCGCGTGAGTGTTGAGACTCGGAGCAGCGCTGGGGGGCTCCAGGCTGAGTGAGGCTGCCCCCCCCCACCCCCCCCGTCCGCGAGTGAAACCAAATCGGCGAACCTCCGCGCCGTGGTTGTTATTTGAGAATTTTGACAGCGAATGAGCATAGACCAGATTTGTATTTGTGTCAAATATCTTCTTTTGCTCGCTTAGAGAACGTTACAGTATTTGAATTTGGGACCACTCGTTCACAATTGTCTCGACTGCGTGAGCAGGTGATGATGTTACCAAAGCGTCATTCATGAAGCTGGCAACGTCGGCTTCATTGGCAAAACGAGTTCCAATGAGAGCAATGGGAAGAAAGGTTAGCGGAGTTCACTCAGTCTATCATTGCTTCCGGGGGTGGGTAAAATCGGCACCACTTTGTGGCGAAGCCAACAGTGGGTTGCCTTACGGATACGCTGGAGGTGAGCAACCGATGCCTCGCTGTTTATTTGAGCAGGAGATCGCTTCGACTCTTGTGGTACAATATGACAATATTAAATTTCGGTTTAAAGCTTTCGTGACTGCAAGGATTCATCTTCTTTGGTTCTTTCGGTAAAGTCGCGTAGAATGAGAATAAAATAATAAAATAAAATAAGACTTAATGCCTCTGTGGATATGTAAACTTTGACTTTAACGCAGCTATTTCTGTCACAAGCTAATCCCTCAGTTTTTTCAATGCTAAATTATCCTGCTTTGATATGTGAACTCCTTTTTCAAGGCTCGCCACGCCTCTCACCGAGCTTAAAAGACGCTGCGAATCTTAGCAGCGTTAATCGAAGCTCTGTCGTCCCGCCAGTTCTGTTTCTTTCACCTGAAGAAGGCTGCTTGTGTTGTGGCCGAAACGTCGTGAGAATTTTATTGTCTTATTTTATTTTATTATTTTATTCTCATTCTACGTGACTTTACCGAAAGAACCAAAGAATATGACTATTATTTCTAAATACAATTAAGTGCAGATGGGGGCGGGGGGGAGCGGTGGTGCAGTGGTTATCACGTTGTGTTGTTTAGCCTAGATTGTGACCTGGCGAGGTTTGTGAGTAATGTCCGAACCTGTTAGGCGCTCGCTCGCTCGTTGGCTGGCGATTGTTGGTTTCTGCGTCTTTTTTTGTACTCGGTACAATAAACAGTATAAATAAATTTTGATTGAAAGCTTTCGTGACTGCAGGGATTCATATTCGTGGTTCTTTCACACCTGATGATGATTGCTTGTGTTGCAGTCGAAACGTCGTGAGAATGTTATTGTTTTATATTTTTATTATATTAATGCTTCCCTTCTACGTGACTTTACCGAAAGAACCAAGAATGGTATAAATAAATACATTTATTCTGAAACAGGCACGGCGGGGAGCGGTAGTTTAGCGGTTAGCCCTGCACTGCGCTACGAACCCGGGTTCGATTCCCGCTCGCGGTCAATACCAGTGACGATTGATAAATTATCTGCACCGGTACTGGGCGCGGTGTGGGGGGGGAGGGATAAAGGCGGCCGGGCGTGGTTCTGCCCACTGACCCTCTCGTGCACCGGTGCCGACCTCCGTAGCGTGCTGCTCGCTTAACGGCACTTGCCCCAACAGTCTGTTAAGGCTCCACGGGCGGAGAGGGATCTTTGTCATCGCTGTACTCGGTTGGCGCTGCTGTACTCTCTTGGCAGCTGGGGCTGCTGCGGAATGTGGGCCCTGTGATGTGTGAAGCCTTCCATCATCGGCTGGGGGCTGTCCCACTATCGAAGCACTGCACGCGGGGACGACTGAAGCACTCGGGTGGGGGGGGGGGCCTGTGTGCGTTAATCAAACAACAACAACAACCTCCCAGCAGCAGCAGCAGCAGCAGTTCGTGAAGAATTGTACTGTTGTCCAATTGCAGCACCTCTGGCACAGACTCGTACCACTTAATGTGCCGCCCAATTTGACGGTGGACTTTTCGAGTTTTGTTCACTCGTTAAACAGCAAAAAAGCACTTGCCACGAATGGACTGCAATGCCTTGTTGGTCTCGTCAGGGAGCACAAGCAGTCACGACAACTCCCGCTCATCCTCGCAGCAGCAGCGGCAGCGGCGGCGGCGACTTGAAGCTGCTCGCCGTCGAACAAAGACGGCGGTCACCGCATCGCGCGACGCTTTCAGACGCGCTTCTGGGGCCGTCTGGAACGCCCTCTTCCTCCTTGCGATATTAGGAAGCCACTGGGAGCTGTGGCACTTTAAAATCATCATCTAGATTGACAAACTCATTTCTTTGGAACTGATTTTTGTGTTTAGTTTGTTGTCCTTCCCCCGCCCCCCACCTCTGATTAGCGCGGTTGGCTACGTACGGTGCGAAAGCACTTCAACATACACAAGAAAATAAAAAAATAATAATATCGTGCATACATACGTGTAGCTGTGTATATATATGTAGCCCAATAAAATTACGGGAAATGACGGAGATTTGTGAAAACACTGCTTGCGTCCCCTCTCCCCCCAACGCGCTCGCGTGCGCGTGTGTACGCATCATGCGATGTTGTGTCAATGCGCTTGATTTGCAACTGTGAATGTACAAGTGTAATGCGTCCACCTTTCTTCATGTGACTTTAAACTATTGCCGCTATCGTTTCCCCCACCCTCCAATGTTCTTCTGTTCGAGTTCACGTGCGATCGAGTTCACGTGCGATCGAGTTCACGTGCGATCGAGTTCATGTGCGATCGAGTTCACGTGCGATCGAGTTCACGTGCGATCGTTGTAATGCGTCTGCCTGCGTCACCTCCTCTGCAATTTCCCACCGTTGCAGTCTGTAGCTGTGGACTTGGACCCCAGTTGGAGGGGATTCTCAGCTGCTCGCGTTCTCTCCTCCCCACACCCCCCCCGCCCCCCGCATTCAATTCTGACGTCTGCGCGTCGATACGTCTGCCCGTGAAACGTAGATACGGGGACGTCCGTGCGTATCGTGGGGGTGTTGGGGGAGTGGTAACATAGCGATTTCACGCGCTGCCCCGTGAACCACCGGGGGCTGTGAATCCTAGGGTTCAATTCCTGCTCATGGGTAAAAATCGGAAACAATCCCGAGCTTCCCCTTTGGTTGTACAGCCTATCCACTGCTGGATGAGGCCCTCGCCACACTGGTGGTTGTTTCACCATACTTCACCACACCGGTCAGCGGGGGTTGATTGAAGGGGGCACTCGGGACCCGTTCGGGTATCGCTTCATCAATGACGTCAGCCGTGGCGGAGAATCGAATTCAGGTCGAGGTGGGTTCGTCGCGCAGTGTGCTAACCGTTGCACCACCACTCAGTGTCTCGCCTCCTCCACTCGGGTTGACTGTTGAGCCAGATGAGAACCCAAGAGTCTCCCAAATGCCCCCCTGCCCCCCCCCCCGCTCTACCTCTGTCCACCCAGCGGTCGATCAGGTCGGTAGGTTGCGTGTAAAGTGGGGTAGAGTGTGGGTACTCCCACGTTTGACATGGATGTCTGGCCAGCGTGAAAGAGTCGTCTGAATGCCACTCTCGACGGGGAGCTCTCTAGAGACTTACCCTCCAGTGGAGGCCATTTCTGCCAGCAGTGATGTGAGCACAGCAATTGCACGGCTGCACCTTTACCCCTCGCTGAGAGTCTCGGTCACGATCGTCTGCACGTGCTACCGTACACGTACACATCTCGACTGCGTACATATTCAATAATGCAGTTACCGGCTGCATCGGTGCGATTTCAAATAAAATCTCACAAATGCCATTATTCTCCACCAGCAGTGACGTGAGGAAAACATTGCAGGGTTGCATCTTTATCTTTATATCTTATTTTATACCCACCCCAAAGTAGGACCGCTTGGTATAGCCATTCAGCACCCCCACCAACGCTACTTTGCGCCCCATGATTTTCGTTGGGTGGAAGTAATCATGTTGGTGTGTGTCGTCAGCGTAGCGATTTATCGCTCTGCGCTACGAACCCAGCCACCCGAGGTTCGATTCCCGGCTCACAGCAACAAACACCCGTGACGATTATCTGAACCGGTCCTGGGCCCCCCTCCTAGGTGGACTCCAAAGACTACCTGATGTGGTTGTGTGACCATCGCCACCGGGGAGACAAAGGCTGTTGGGGGCGTGGTGCTGGCCACGACCCACCCCCTCGTGTGCCGCGTCGGCCTTCGTAGGTGCTGCTACTCGCGAACGGCACCTGCCCCAAACAGCCTGTGAACCCTTTTAACCATTCCAAACCGATGACGTACGCGTACGGTTTTTCTTCTGATTCCGTTCTGGAAGTAAAAAAAAGGGCCAACGTGCATACGGCGCGGTCTTTGGCGCCAGCGGCGGCAGACGGAGCGGTCGCGCCGCTACGGTTCGAGTAAAACGAACGCCGTGCACGAGACTCGGGTGGTGGAACGGGACCACCCACCCCCTCCCACCCCTCCCCACCCTGTGACCCTGCAACTTGCTCGACGTCGTTGAAACAGCAAAGGAGGGCGGGGCGGGGCGGGGGGGGAGGGAGCGGTGTCGTTAAGGCTGCGGATTTTCATACGCGTCCTGGTGATCTTGTCTCCCTGCTGCTCAGGCTGAGTGCGGCATGGATTACAGCCACAGCCCAGTGCCGGGCTCCCTGCCGGGGTACATGCACCTCCCCAACAGCCAGCCCATGGGCGGCGGGGGCGGCGGTGGCGCGCCAGCTTCGGTGCACGCGGTCCACAGCAGCCCCGCCATGCCTCCGCACCACTCCATGCACGTAAGTAGTCGCAAGGATGTGCGTACGTACGTACGTACGTACTACACGCGGTTGAACTTCTGTCGCACCGCCGTTATGTACGTGGACCAACCGTGCTCATCGGAGGTGCGGAGGGGCGGGGGGGGGGGGGGTGCAGAACGACAACCGTAGCACAAAAAGCAGTTCTAAAGAAATTAGTTTGTCAATCTAGGGGATTTAAAAGTGCATAGCTCCAAAGCGGCTCCCTAATATCGGCAGGAGGAAGAACATTCCAGACGGCCGCAGAAGCGCATCTGGAAGCGCCGCGTGATGCGGTGACAGCCGTCTTTGTTCCATGGTCAGTAGCCAAAATCGGCCGCTGCTGTGAGGATGACCGGAAGATTCTGCCCTGCCCCCACCCCCTCCGTGTGTCGCCTGTAACAGACTGTTGGGGCGAGTGTTGTTAGCGAGTAGCACCTATGAAGGCCGGCATGGCACGTGGGGGTAGGTGGGGGGGGGTGTGTGACCAGCACCAATCCCCCAGTCGCCTTCTTGCCCAGGAAGACAGCCGAGCGGCTATTGTAGAGGTGGGGGAGGCACAGGATGGGTTTGGACAGCGCCGTCGTTGTCGAGTTTGCAGGCGGTGCAACTGCACCGGGGTCCACAGGTCGTAGGGGATGGGGAGGTGTTGGGGTGGCACCAGGCGCGATACCGAGGCCGGTTCAGATATCGCTCGCTCGCGTTGCGCTAACCGCTGCGCCACCGCTCCCCTCGCCTCCACGGTACACCCACACACACACACGTGCTTTTGAAAGGCATGCAGTGTGGGAGGGCACGCGGCGTGAGCCAGGTGGCGAGCGGTGTGGCTGGCCGGCTCTGTGAGATCTGAGTGCGCATTGTCGGTGGTGGGGGCGACTCGCAGTGAGAGCCGTGTCCAGCTTGCCTCTTCACTCGCTGGCGATGGCACGAGGGCTGGGTTTTTTTTTGTTATTGTTGTTTTAAATTGTTACAAAAAAATCACGATCTTAAGAATAGGTTTTGTACCCTTTCGGGCAATTAAACAGAAGTTTTGTTAAGACGTACTTTTGTGGCAAGACATGCAACAAACATGCTTTGATAATATACGCATTGCCTTTGAAACTGATTGGCCTACTCCAGAGACAACAACCTTCTTCTATGGCCTTGCCTCACCAGTGTCAGACCAGAGAGTGCCAAAAGGCGACCAGTACAAGGACAATGCAAGTATCAGAACACTGCTCGGGTTGAACAGTGGTTAATACAGACTTGATTCTTTGCATAAATGTATCGATTTGGTGTTTGAACATCTTATCACCTGTTTTATTTGGCAGAACGGGTAAAACCTATTGTTATTTTTCACACTTTGATACTGGCAAAACGGTTCCATACCTATGATCTTATTGCGTATATTTCAAAACTTGGAAAATGTGTTCCATTCACAAGCATCAGGAAGGCATGGCTGCTACATATCACGTGACATATCACGTGACCACCACATCGGTGTTTAGTTTGTTGTCCTTCCCCCGCACCTCCGGTTTAGTATGGTTGGCCACGTACGTTGCGAAAGAAGTTCAACATACATTGCGCAATTCTCTGTCCTGCTGTTTGTGCGTGACGCATTGTTGCGTGCTGCTCTTATTCCAGTTTTGTTCCCAGACTGCACGCACGCATTTTACCTTTGTGATGGGTGGGAATCTCATAATTTTTAGGTGTTGGAATTTGTATTGATATTATCACACCTGAAAAGTTTGTGAAGGATGAGTGGGGTCGGTACTGCCGGCTGAAGGTGTATTGCAATGAAATACAACGTGGATTTCAGAATCGCAATCAGAATATTTATTTGTACTGGAAGAATCCGACTAGCAATAAAGCTCTTTTTCGCAGATCTCCCATAGCGGCACGAGGTCAGAACGTTATGACGGACAATGAAAAAAACAAAACACGATCGGAGTGCAAAGTATAGAAAAGTTAAACAGCGGCTGAATGCGACCACATCTCAAGATGCGGCACAGACACCGAAATCGCCCTCCACCCCGAACCTTCACCAACCGGTGTAGACCCGCGTGGTGAAGTATGGTCAATCGACACCACCTCCCCCACCCCCTACGGACCGACGCGGCGTAAAAAAAGCCCTCGTCCATGAGTGGATTGACAAATTTGAGACTGGAGATTGTTTTGTTCTCGGACGTCAGCACGTTCATCCAGCAGCGGCTTCACAAAGTGGCCGTGTTGTTGCTGCTGCACGATGGGTAGAATAAAATGGATTATCGTTTGAAGTGCTGAAGGTTCGACCTACACCGGATTAAGGAGATTTCATCGGGAGTTACGGGCGGTCTCCTCCGGTTTAAGACGGTCCCGTTCACGACGTGCGACGTTTATATCACGCCGCTAACATGGACCGGCTTACAACGGCAGAGGCTCGGTTGACCGACGCGTCTTCCGACACGACTCCCGAACGCAACTGGAGCCGAGTCGGGCGTCCGGTTTCCGACGTGACTTGGCGTGGAGCTTTTGTTATTCTCGAGCGTTTTTTGTCGCGAATGATTTTCGTCGATTAAAAAAAGACCCCGTTAAATACGGCCAATGAAAGTAAAAGAAGCAAAGCTTCGGCGCAAGTCACGTTTCCGCTGCTTCTACCATCTGCGGGGAAAATGGGGGTCCGGTTTACGACGACGGGGTTTCCAGGACCCGCACTGTGACGTTGGAAAAGCGGGGGGGACCGCCTGTGTGTTTAACGTACACCGAGGGAATGCACGCACACACGCTCATGCAGCAAACGTCACAGTTGGCGGCCTCTTAAATCACACGTTTGTAAGGGTCGGGCATGAGAGGAACGCATATTAATGCTTGAAGCCCCCTAACCGTGGGTGAGAAATGCAGTTTCGGTGACACAAAGATATGACAAACGCCTGGGACGACCGCACCAAAAAACGTTCTTACTTTCAAATTTGAGTAAAAGCCGTCGGGGGGGGGGGGGGGGGTTAAAATAAGTTAAACCTCCGACATTACCTTTGCGGAAAAGGGAAAAAATCGAATAGGTTAAAGAGATATAATATAAAATAGCAGCAAAAAATTACGAAGGGATGGGGTTAGAATACAAACACTGTCATAAACGCTTGGAAAACACAGCAACAAATAAGCCAATCGATAAAATAAAATAAAAATCCCCCCCAAAAAAACATCTTTCGCGGAAAATCGACGACAACGAAAACCCGTTTGTATTCTAAACCAACACAAACAACACTGCCATACTCACAACCAACGCTGCCAATAGCGGGGCACCTTTGTACGGACAGCCAGAAGACTGATTGATTGTGGGGAGCGGGCGGGTTGGGGGGGGGGGTGGTCCTGCCAGTTTTGAAGGTGGCGGCCACAGCAGCAGCAGCAGCTGCCGCTGCTGTGCCCGCGCGCAGGGCAACCACGTGCCCTCCACACTGCACCCATTTGTTCAGCGGCACACGGCACGCGCGCGTGCGCGCACCTGCAAAAGCAACGCGCCGTCGTCTGTGAAGCTGGCACGCATTAGGCGACCCACCCCGGCTAATGCGCGCCACTCGCACACGGCAAAAACCAAATAAGTAAATAAATAAATAAACCCCGAGAGAGCGGCCACAAAGACAAAGATCCCCCGGATAGCCTCTAACGGGCCGTCCGGCGGGGTGGAGGGCAAGCGCTGTGTCTGCGTTAGCGCGAGCGGGCACGTGTGTGTACGGCCGGCGCGGGGAAGGTGGTGTGGTGTGGCCGCCACCACGCCGCCTCCTCCCCCCCCCCCTCCCCGGCCGCCTTTGTCTCCCCGGTGCTGATGTGTTATTGCACACCCACACAAGATGCCTGCTTTGTTAGGGCCAAGTCGACCTAGGGGAAGGCCTGGGAACTGTATCTTTTTTTTATATATTAACCCGCTTGCATGCACACGCACGCGTGTGCACACACACACACAGAGCAAAGCAAATCGAGGTAAGGAGGTACATTTATAAATAAACTGGGCGAGCCGACAGCCCGATCCGAGCTCGGACTTTGCAAAATAAATAAATAAAAATAGACGGTGAAAAATACCGGCTTGAACGCGAGGCAAACACAAGGAGTTCACTTTGAGTGGTTTTTTTTTGTTGCAATTTGATCTCGGGTCTCTCCTCGGGAAGAGAGGGCTCATAAATCACCCCGGTCTGAAATGTGCCATGTCCCGTCTCCTCCCGCGCCGAGACTTTGCGAGACGGGAGTCCGTTGCCTGCTGGAAACGGCAGTAGCAGCCACAGCAGCAGCAGCAGGAGCTACAGCAGAAGCTACAGCAGCGTCAAGAAAGCGGAGAGCGTCTGTGGTGCAGGGAAGGGAGAGGTGTTCTGTTGGAGGGGGGTAGGGGGGAGGGCAGCCGGGGCGGGGGGGGGAGGCTGGTAAAACGAGACACCTCCGAATTCTCCAAAGCGGAGCGTTTTGGGACCGCTCGTCGTAACAGGAAACCTATTTTTTTTTCTTTAGGAGCCGTGAGCGAAGGGAAAAGTACGTAGCGCCCGCCCGCCCGCCCGCGCTTTCGCTTAAACGCAACGGCGGACGCACGCGTCTCTCGCTGCGTTGGGTTTTTGGCCGGCCGTGCCCCACCAGCGGCCTCCCCGACTCTCCGCAGTCGTGGTGACATCATTCCGGGGGTGGGGGGGGGTCGCGGTGACATCACCCGGAGTGTTCTAGAAACGCAATCGGCGGGGAGCGGCTTGGGCAGGGCACGGTCACGGCGAGAAGAGGGGGATCGACGACGGAGTGGAAGCCGGGGGGATGGAACGCAGCGGCGACCGGAAGGAACTGTCTCCCGCTCCAGGGAGGAGACGGAGCAGGTGCCGGGTGGATCGCAGCGTCTTGGCGAG